ACAGTCTCTCTACAGCCCTCTCACACTGGCACCCATTCACACCAGGACATAGGATTATTCCTACATACAAATCCCATGAGCACCACAGCAACGGCCAAAGCAGCAGCCACCAGCCCAGACACAGCAAGGCCTAGTTGTTGCCTAAGGAACATGGGCCACGGCCCACTGCAACACACTATCAGCTCTCCTTACCAAGGTAGGCCGCTGGGTCGACATCACCTGATTTCTGGGCACAACTGAAAGTACAACAGGAATAGGAAGGAGGTCACAGGATTAAAATGAGTGCAGCAAGGGCAACACACTGAGCACAGCACCCAAGGGAGCTGCCAGCTCCAGCCAGGAGAACAGAGTCCCAGGAGCAAAGAAGGATGCATGAAGACAAACCCCAGCCTCTCTGCAGGACTCCAGCTCTGAGACCCCAACCTGGAGCCCAGGGCAGGAGGACAGACACCTCTCCCCTCAGCTTCCGCTCCAGGCTGCTCCTCCCACAGCTTCTCCCAGGTGCAAGGCAGGAGCCATCCCACGGCAGCAAACAGCCTCCATGCTGCAACCCAGGGGCAGCTGGGCTGAGCCTGCTGGAGCAGCTGGAGCTGATGGGCAAAGGATTGCAGGTCTGGGAGGTATTTAGCTCCCTCATTAACCCTTTCCAGCCTGCCCTCTAACCTGTCTAGTCCCCATTACAGCCTGGAAAGGGTCCATCAGGTTTATGCAGCGTGGGATGGACGTCGTCCCCTCGTTCTCTCCAGGGTCAGACACTTCTCCCTCTGCAGGCACTCCCAGGGGCCACGACCCTGCTGCTGAGGTTCTCCACAGCAGGAGACACTCTGGCCTGCAGACATGCATGCCCCACTCCCCACTCCTGCCAAGAACCAGTGCAGTCCCAGCTCCAGCTCCAGGAGTCTGGCCCAGGGGTGATGAAGCCTGGGGAGACCCTCAGCCTGACCTGCACCATCACTGGTGGCTCTGTCACTAGCAGTCACTGGTGGAACTGGGTCCAGCAGGCTCCTGGCAAAGGGCTGGAGCGGGTCGGGGGATGGGGTGGTAGCACATACTACAACGCAGCTTTCCAGAACAGAATCACCAGCTCCGTGGACTCCTCCAGCACCAAGTACTACCTGCGGCTCAGCTCCCTGACAGCTGCAGACACTGCCACGTATTACTGTGCCAGGGGTGGCACAGTGACACAGAGCAGGGCAGGGGCTGCACAAAAAAGGGGGAGCGGATTCTTAACAGGCAGACCTGGCAATGCCCCTTCTGACACAGAGACGCATGAAATACAGGAACAAGAGCAAACCCAGGAGCTCCACACTGCTGGGCGAGACTCACAGCCAGGCCCAGGCTTGGAGGAGGCAGTGTTTATTTCCAGGCCAGATCCACTGCACGCCCTGCCTGGCCTGAGCCCCGAGGCCCGCCCTTAGTGAGAAGAGGACTGAGCACTTCCAGCCTGGCACCCTTGTGGCAGAAATGCCACCGTCTGTGCCCCTCTCCAGAGATCTGTCTCTGCCAGCGTGAGAGGCGGGTGTTGAATCCCTCTGGGCAGGGGATCTTCCTCCCTGCCTGCATGACAAAAGCCTGGTGCCTCAGAGGCGGATGCTCTGGTCACCTGGGGAAGGGAAGGGAAAATCCCCGCTCACCCGCCCAGGTAGCCAGTGATGCTTTTTAAATTGGTTGGCTTGTGGCCAGCACTGGCAGCTTCGATTGGACCGGGCTGCTGAGGTCAGAAAGGTTATTTAAAGGCCTGGGCCAGGAAGAAGGCAGCCATTAGCCATGTGGTCACCCAGGTGAAACTGGGGGAGGAGCTTCACCATCTGACACAGGCTCTCTCCTCATAACCACAAGCTCTGAGAGTGCCCTGCTTCCAGAGGAAACTCCAACCACCTCTGGATGCTGCGTGTGAGGAAGCTACTCGAGATCCAACTAGATACTTACCTTACAGTAACTAACATGCGTGATCAAAAGGCTACCTCAGCCCTACGGGTTTGCTCTATGGGATTCCTCTGATATTTCCATGATACTGCTCTACCTTTTACCCTGTTTCCGCCCTACCCCCTGTCATCAATAAAGTGCTCCTTTGTGACCGGTGTGGGAGACTTATGGAGGGATGGGTCTGAATTATCCTGAGGCCCCTTAGGTCTGTGGACTAAGGGAGGCTTCCCTATTAAGCCCCTGACTTGGGAAGTGCCCCAAGTGCCTGTATTGGGTCTAGTGCCTACTGGACGACCAGGCCTGTGTTCTCCAAGGTGCGCAGAGCCAGAATTGGGTCCAGAGCCTTGGATGGTGGCAGCGGGAACCCCAGGCTAGCGGGTGTGCTCCAGGGAAGGGGTCGGCCGGCCGTGCGGCACCCAAGGTCCGGCCCTTCCCCTCTGGTGGTGCTGACCCCAGGGTCTCCCCTGTGCCAGAGACTGAGCCCCATGCAGAGAGCTCCCAGCCTGGGGCTGCTTATACCCTCCTGGGAGCAGCATGCAAATCCCTGGCCAGGGCTACTGGTTAAATAGAGATCCTGTATCCAGGAGCCTCAGTCTGTACCCAGCCCCTTGCTGCCTGCTGAGTCTCCCTTGTTATAGGGCAGCAGCAATGAACTCCTTATTCCTATTCCTGTTGCTTCTCTCTACTCCCCCATGTAGGTTAAGAGGAAGGTTCAGGGGAATCCAGTTTTTCCTTTAGGTGTGCTCTCTGCTGTGCAGCTGGTTGAGTCTGGTCCAAGGGTGGTGAAGCCTGCAGAGACCCTCACCCTGACCTGCACTGTCACAGGTTCCTCCATCACCAGTGGTTACGATTGGAGCTGGATCCAGCAGCCTCCTGGAAAAGGGCTGGAATATATGGGGTACATTAACTACGGTGGCAGCACAGGCTACAACCCATCCCTCCAGAGCCGCATCACCATTTCCAGGGACACTTCCAAGAACCAGTTCTCCCTGCAGCTGCGCTCTCTGACAGCCACAGACACGGCCACGTATTACTGTGCCAGGGACACAGTGACACAGAGCAGAGCAGGGCCTGCACAAAAAGGGGAAGCCTGTTCTTCTTAATGTAGCAAAGTTAAAAAAAGCTCAGACAAGGACATTTCCACCTGAAAACCTCACACACATGGAGGGGAACTCCAACAGGATCAGCCGTGGCCATCTAAGGTTGTTTTAGCTTTGGACCTATACATTTCCAAAACGCACGGGCCTGAGAGCTTCGCTGGGCATTTGACAGATAGATGTTAGCAAGCAGTATAAGTCCCAAGGAGGCTTCATCAAAGAGCATTTTGAGGCCTCCTCAGCATGCTTCGTCCTGGGATCAGCAGTGGGGAAAATCCACCTCTTGCAAGGACCCACGGCTCAGCCCATATAACCCCCTGGATCAGGTCCCCCCGCTTCAACCCTGCAGTTCCTGGGACCTCCGCTCATTTGTACATTGGTGCCCATGAGGCAGCAAGGCAAGGGAGGGCTCCTCAGCCCGTCACACTGGGAGGCCCAGGACAAGCTCACACTTTGCAGTAATTCCTGCAGCATGGAAGGAGCAAGTCCCATGGTCACGTCCCATGAAGCAAGGTTTGCAGGAGCTCATGGGCCATAGGAGTCCACCAAGATTTAGGGGCCTGAGCCTCTGCTTCCAAGGCAGCTCCTTCACATGCCACCTGCCCTGGGAGTCAACTCAATGGTCAGCAGAGGTCATATAGTCCAGGAGGACAAGGATGCATCTCAGGCATGTCACAAATTGTTTCCCAGGGCAACAGCATCCTCCACACCAGCCCACCCTGAAGCAGAAAACCTCTGGCCATGGGTCACGTCCAGGCTTGT